AGCAGCCCCCTACACACTATATTTCTGAAGGGTCTCTCCTGTTTTCAATGCGCTGTACCTGACATACGCTTGCTTCTTTTTCTTTATCAAACTCTTGATTCCCTTGACATCCAGGATTCCCTGGACTTGCTGCCCTTGCCTTTCACTTTTAGAGGAACACACTGGCCCTGAATCCTCACTGTTTTACTTTTAAAAGACTTCCACTTTCCAAATACAGACTCATCTGCAAGCAGCTGCTTCCAGTCAATGTTTGCCAGATCCTATCTGATGATATTGAAGTTGGCCTTCCACTAGTTCCGATAGTTAACTTCTGTACTGTCTTTATCGCTTTTCATATGACTTTGTAATGGTCACTATCCCCAAAATGCCCACCCACTGACACTTCAACCACTTGACCAGCTTAATTCCCTAGGACTGGGTCTAGCAGTGTCCATCTTTACTCAGATTATCTAAGTACTGGCACAAACACATGTCCTGAGTATATTTTAAACATTGCACTGCTTTCCCCTGAGAGGGTATTGCCCCCAGTAATATCCAACGTAGTATATCTGTTTGAGAGGGGGATAGCCACAGGAACAAGGGAAGCCTACTTGTCTTCATGGTAGTCACCCAACACTTTCTGCCTGTGTAGCCGTTATGTCTGGTTTGACCAACTCACTAATTGTCTTATTCATGACATTATCATCCTCATGATGCTCCATAGTGAGTCCATCCGCAGCTCCAGTGGCAAACCAGGAGCTGCAGCTGAACACACTTCCTGAATATGTGGTCACCATGGAGACTGGCAGTGTCCCAATTTTCCACATACTGGGGAAGCATTCTTCTGCCATTGTCAACCTTACCAACAACAAACAAAGAGATACGTTCAGCTGCTCACAACTGGCTAAACCAAACTGAGAAAAGAAATTGGAGTGACATCACAGAAAATCGGCAAGATTGTGGCTGGTAAGGATCTACCATTAGCGACTGTCTCTGAATTTGTAAAGTTGTAAATTAGAAAAATGGAGGTATTCTCTATTCAACCTGTTATTACACACCTCTGGAGCAGGTGGAACTTGAACCCAGGCCTCCTGGCTCAGAAGTAGGGACAACACTACCATTGTGCCACAGCTCCATATTAAGAAGTGTCTTATTAAGCGAATAACTGAAAACACAAGGGACAATTGAACAAAGAGCCACCACCATAGCAGAGATAAGTAATAATAACAAGGAATAATTGGATGAGCAAGCCAAGGGGAAGTGTTAACAGTGGTATTATTGCTGGACTATTAGTCCAGTGACCCAGGAAATGTCCTGAGGACCATTTAATAAGACAGGTTTTAATATTGAGTTGCAGCACAATGGTATTGTTGTCCCTACTTCTGAGCCAGTAGGCTGTGGTTCAAGTTTCACCTGCTCCAGAGCTGTGTAGTAACAGATTGAATAGAGAATACTTCCATTTTTCTAATTTATAACTTTGAAGCCCCATCATGGCAGATGGTAGAATTTGAATTCAATAATAAGGGTCTGATGATAACCACAAAACCATTGTCAATTGTCAGGAAAACCCTTCTTGCTCGCTAATGCCTTTTAGGGAAGGAAACTGCTG